CGATTTTCTTTGAAAACCGTCATCTTTACTGATAAACAACGACGGTGAAAAGCCGTCGTAGTTTGAAACCCAAATAGACGGCAGTCGATTTCACGACCGGGCGAAAACCTTTTACACGACGGTGGTTTCCCGTCGTCTATTTCGATTTTTGTAGTAGTGTGCAAAGTATAATTACTGCTTACCATGACGATATATACGTGGTGAGTTTGAGACCTAATTATAGTTGGCACAACTGTCATGTAATTTTTTTTAAAAATATGTTATCATATTGTAAATCTTTGTAAATATGCTTTTGTTTGCTAAAAAACCAAGTGTTACTGATTTTTTTTTTTGTTGTGGAAGAAAATGGTATTAATATATTATTAAAGAGGAGGTAGTAATCGGTAAAAAAAAATTAAGGTTTAGGGGATTAGGTCAATATTTTTACATATAAGAGTTCAATCGTCTTTCGAACCATCCTTACCCTTACAAAATCAAACATGATTGCCAAAGGGGTCTAGTCTAGTGGTTTCAGATTCGAATCCCTATGACATTAGTTTTGTGTGTGTGTGTGTGTGTGTACGCGCATGTGTGTGTGTGAAATCCTCTCCCCTGTAGTTTAGACTAAGGCCCAGTTTGGAATTGCTGTCACTTAAAAAAAAAAAAGTTGCAAAGCAACTCCATATTTGGTAAACAATATTGTTAAAGTGTTGTGTTGTTCGTCCTTTCTTTATTTGCAATTTCTCTACTCCATACATGTTTTTGGTGGTTTGAGAAAATTTGGGGTTGGGACCACAAAAGTGGAGGGTGGTCTCATTGTTTAATTGGAGGGTTTGTTGGGAAAGGCTATAGGCACTACTAAAAAAGGGGAAAAAAATGACCAAAAAAACAATGATGGTATAAATAACAATAATGATGACGTTAATCAGACTTTTGAAAGTCAGTTGTGAAAATGTGTGTCGTGGATAATTAACGAGGCAGTTTATTCCCTGAGACTGACGTGGAAGCCATTATAAGCGACGATTAATTAACACTTTGTGTCCTGGTTATTATATGTTACGGCAGTTACCTTGTAATTTTTGACATGTAATCAACTTTTCTGGAAGTTGTCGGTCTAAGGTTGTTTTTTTTTTTTTTTTTTTTTTGTTTGTTGTTGTGTTTTTTATAGTAATTAGACGTCGGTTTTTGTTTTTAGTTGACGTAGTATGTCTTAACAACGTCGATGTCGAAGTTATAAACGAAGATATGTTTTCAACTTGAGTCGTAGTTAATCTTTGTTACGTCAGTACTTATTGAGTTCTTGACATGTAATCTTCTTTAGACGTCTTGATGTTTTTAAAAGCGTCGTCTAAGGTTGTTGAAGTTTTCCTTTTTCGCTGTTTTTATAGTAACTAGACATTGGTTTGTTTTTAGAGATGACGTTGTATGTCTTAATGACATCGATTATTTACCATTGTTGTTTTATGTATCAAAAGATGGTGGTCGATTTAATAACAATTTAAAAACCGTTTAGACAACGGTGGATTCCCGTCGTCTATTTCGATTTTTGTAGTAGTGAGGAAGCAATGATAGACGTAGATGTCGTATAACGAGACGAGGCTGAGAAAGAAAGGTCACATTGAATATAATTGAATTGGGATGATTTTAATTATTATTGTAGGGATCGATTAAGCCATGAAAAGAGAATGTACTGTTTTGTTTTTTTCTTATGTTTTGGAGAGTTTGTTTAGGGTTTAGGAAAGAAGAAGGGAAAACCAAACCTGTGAATTGGTGGAGAAGTGCAGACCAAAGAAAGAGGGAAAAATGAAGACTAAATTGATGATTGGGGGAGATACTGACAACAACAACAAAAACTGATGGTTGGGGAAAGACGTTGCAGACAAAAACTACAGGAAAGGGGGAGAGGTTGAAGAGAAAGGAAAATAGAAGGAAAAAAAAACTAGCATTATGATGGCAGAAGTAAAGTTTCCATTAGGGCTTTCTTTTTTCTTTTTAATTATGAGAGAACTGAAATACGTTGGATTAAATTTTGTGCCAAACATTTGTGCCACCTCATTACCCTTGACACTAGAGAAGAAGTCAAGGGTAATACTCATGGAACTGTATGTGCCAAACATTTTCAAATTTAGAACAATTAATGTGTGTGAGTGGTTAAATTCGCAATAAATTTCAAAATTTAAGCTTAGTTAGGCAACTTGCTGAATTTGATTCTAGTCATCAGATTTTATTTATAATAAATTGAGTTTTCTGTGAAGAAAAATATTCCATATTATTACACCATGTTTTTGTCTTTAAATAAGAGAAGAATATTGATCAAACAATCCCATTACACAGTTAGCCAGTCTTCTCACAACTAAGCTATAGCCATGGCACTTGAGCTAGTCCTACTCATGATCCTCTTTCTTCTCTTAGCTATCCCTCTTCTTCTCTTCCCAACCCTAACCTCCAAAATATTCCGAACCCACCTTCACCTCCCTCCAAGCCCCTTAGCCCTACCCATCATAGGCCACTACCACCTCCTCGGCCCTCTCATCCACCGCACCTTACACAACCTCTCTCTCCGCTTCGGCCCCTTATTCTCCCTCCGCCTCGGCTCGCTCCAATGCGTTGTCGTTTCCTCACCGGACCTAGCGAAAGAGTTCCTCAGCACCCATGAGCTCTCCTTCATATCCCGTGCTCAGTCCCTCGCCATTGAAAGCATGACCTATAATGCTTCCCTTGCATTTGCACCCTATGGACCTTACTGGAAGTTCATCAAGAAACTGACAGTGAACGAGCTTCTAGGAAACCGTAGCATCAACAACTTAGTTTCCATTCGAACCCAAGAGTATCTTAGGCTTCTGAGGTTCTTGGCCAAGAAAGCTGAGAGTGGTGAAGCTGTGAATCTCACTGAGGAGTTTCCGAAGCTTTGGATCAATGTGATCTTGCAGATGATTGTTGGGAATCGGGGTTTGAGCGCCAAAGGTAGGGCGGTGCTGGTGGAGGAGGCAGGGTTGGTGGTGCGGCAGGCCACGAGGCTTTTTGGAGAGGTGAGTTTGTGTGATTTTTTTTGGGTTTGTAAGAAGTTGGATTTGGGAGGGTTTGTGAAGAGAATTGAGGAGACGCATAGGAGGTTGGATGTGTTGGTGGAGAAGGTAATTAGAGAACGAGAAGAGCTGAGAAAGAAGGAACGGATGGAAGAGGAGGAAGTCAAGGATTTTCTTGATACATTGCTTGATATGTTGGAGAGTGGGAGTGCTGAGGTTGAATTTACAAGACCTCACCTTAAGGGTCTAATTACGGTAATGATATCTATCTATAATTCTTAATTTACGTGTGGGGCGATTTAAGACAAAAAATTATTTATTTCAATCAAGTTTTTTCTTTCATCGCATATAACACAAGAAGAAACCATATGAGAAAACGTATAGAACCCGTCGCCATGAGTTTGAACTTCGGAGATTTTATATGTTGAATAAAAAAAAGGATTGATAATTAAATCTTTTGAGAATACTTATAGAGATAATCAATTCCAATCGTTGATTCTTCATAATGATTTACAACTTTGCTTCTCTATATTCTTGGTGTATGTAGAAATGTATTCTGTGAAGTAAAAGTGCATTGGTATATGAGTTAATTTGCCTTGACAATGTTGAAAGATTTTAATATAATTATCAATGAACCTTATATTCTAGATTTACGAGGATGTTTTACTTTACTACAATCAACATAAATATTCTTTTCAGGACTTATTCATGGCTGGAACAGACACAAATGCAATTTCACTAGAGTGGGCATTGGCAGAGCTCATCAACCACCCAAGAGTGCTCAAGAAAGCAAGGGAGGAGATCCATCGAGCCGTTGGAAATCGACGAGTAGCCGGAGAATTGGATGTTCCAAATCTTCCATACATCCAAGCCATCATAAAAGAAACATTTAGACTACACCCACCGGTGCCTTTGGTCACAAGAAACTCTGTACAACAATGTAAGATTGGGGGATATGACATCCCTACAAACACAATGCTACATGTGAATGTTTGGGCCATTGGAAGGGACCCAAAGAACTGGGAAAGCCCACTGGACTTCTGGCCTGAAAGATTCTTGCAACTCGGTGAGGACAATGGCCAGATGAGTGCAGTGGATGTTGAAGTTAGGGGCCAACATTTTCATCTCATGCCATTTGGGTTTGGGAGGAGGATGTGTCCCGGTATGAACTTGGCCATGAAAATGTTGCCTGGGGTACTTGCGGCTTTGATTCAGTGCTTCGATTGGAAGGTTGATGGGTCTGATTGCAAGAAGATGAATGGTGATGATGTTCTTGAAATGGATGAACGGCCTGGATTGACTGCTCCGAGGGCGCATGATCTTGTGTGTGTTCCTGTTGCCCGCTTCAGCCCACTCAACATCCTTGACCCATAAGGCAAACTTTTTTATTTATATGTTGGTCATAAAAATATTCTGAAAGTTTATTGTGTGTGTGTTGTAATAATACCCGTAAAGGGAAAATAACTTTCATGTATCTTTGTATTTTACAGCTTTAATGAGAAAGAAATAGCTTCTGTTTTTCTTAGTTCTGATGGGAAAAAATAGTAAATGGTAAGGCTAACAAAGTAATGCTTATTTTGATATTATGTGGCAAGGAGATTTTGAGGTTAGAGTTTAATGTTAATGATCATTGACTCGAACACAATACATGTCGGATACGTTATGATATCTGATAGACACAACAAGCATTGGATATTGTACAATGCGTGTCGAACACATATTTTGGAGTATCTTTTAAATGCAGTAGAAAACGATCAAATGTTTTATTTTAGGTAGAATAATGGAAGAGGAACATCAATGTATTGCCAATCTTTTCATTTTGTGTCATTTATTATCTTTAAGCTTTATATTATTATTCTTTTAAAATTCAGTATGAAATGAAAGCAGAGATATAAGTTAAAACTGGGTTTTAGTCTAACTAATCTAAAGCACAGAGATAAATAAGCGCCAAAATAAATCCTGGCAATAAACAAATTGTTCCCTTTTCCTGCTTCCATGTTCCATTCAAGAGCCAGAGCGATCAATCAAGCACAAGCAAACCTTCTTCGCCATTGCAGCAATCCCATACAAGCCCAACAGCCATACCACACTTTCCGTCCCAACAAACCCAAGACCAAGCCCCGCCGCGAACGACTTCACAGAGACACCACAAAGCTTCGCAGGCCCATCCCTTTCGTCTCCGATGTCAAAGAAGTTGAAGACCCAGAAGAAGGCTTGTCTCTCTTCTACGAGTACCACCAAATGGGCTTCAAGCACGACTACCCTTCTTACTCTGCTCTTCTCTACAAGCTCGCTCGTTCTCGAAACTTTGAAGCCGTCGAGACCATTCTCGGCCATGTACGAGATCGAAACATTCATTGCAAAGATACACTTTTCATTGCTCTGATTCAACATTATGGGAAGGCCAATTTGGTAGAGAAAGCCATTGAGCTTTTTAACCAGATGCCTTCTTTTAATTGCGTCCGTACATTGCAGGCCTTCAATGCCCTCCTTAATGTGCTTGTTGATAGCGGTAGGTTTGTGGAAGCGGATGAGAATTTTGGTCGGTGTTCTAAAATGGGTTTTCGGCCGAATTCGATTTCGTATAATATTATGATGAAGGGGTGGCTTCAAAAGGGTGACGGGGAAGAAGCTTGCAAGGTGTTTGATGAAATGCTTGAGAAAAAAGTGCAACCTAGTGTTGTGACGTATAATAGTCTTATAGGGTTTTTTGGTAGGAAGGGTGAGTTGGAGAAAGCTAATGGTTTGCTTGAGGACATGAAACAGAAAGGGACGTACCCAAATGCTGTAACATATGCATTGTTGATGGAAGGTTTCTGCATGCTAGGAAAGCATGAGGAAGCAAAGAAGATGATGTTTGATATGGAGTATCGGGGTTGTAAACCACGGCTTCTGAATTATGGTGTTTTGATGAGTGATCTTGGAAGGAGAGGAAAGATTGATGAGGCAAAATCTTTACTTCAAGAGATGAAGAAAAGGCGGTTTAAGCCAGATGTAGTGCTGTATAACATATTGATTAACTTTCTGTGCAAGGAAGGTAGGGCTGCAGAGGCTTATAAAGTCTTGATTGAAATGCAAGTTGGAGGCTGTGTGCCGAATGCAGCTACATACAGGATGATGGTTGACGGGTTTTGTCAGATTGAAGATTTTGAGGGAGGTTTGAAGGTTTTGATTGCAATGTTGACAAGTAGACATTGTCCTCGTTTAGAAACATTTGAATGTTTGGTTACGGGTCTAGTAAAGTGTGGGAAAATTGATGATGCTTGTGTTGTCTTGGAGGAGATGGAAAAGAGAAATATGCAATTTTGTTTTGAAGCTTGGGAAGCTCTAGTTGTGGATGCTTGTGGTGAGAATGTTGTTGCAGGGGAGGTTGTGACTGAACTAATCTCTGTCCATTAATGGTCATCAAGGAAGAAATGAACACATGCCATTTTGGTGTGACTTCTGTAGCTCTTTCAAGCCCCCCATCCCGCACGGAGACAACGCAATAAAGATTGGTGGCAAGCCCCTTGTCCCACATTTTTAATGGGTGCTTTTAGCAATTATTGAGCTTTACCATCCAGGAGAGTCGTACTAATATCGTATGATAGTTTAGTTCAGTGGAAAAAGAAAAAAGAAAAACTTTATCCACAAGAGAATCATAGTGCTGCTTGACCCATGGCTTGGAGCAAGAAGAAATGTGCTCGTTTGGCTGATGGGAAGGAGAAAATTTTTTTTTCTAAGGTATTGGAAGCTCTAGTCTGTGATGCTTGTAAAACAGAACTAAGCTATGCCCACTGGTAGGCTTCACCAGAAAGAGGAAACTTTGTTTAAGTATTGAAACATTTCATCAATATTATGGGTGGTTGATGCCAATGTAGGTTTCAGAAAGCTCACTATGCTTGCGGTTGTTCAAATAAAGGTTAGATAAGCATGTAAGCTGAGCTAAATCTATGACCACTGCAGTATTCAGGGAAGAGAGGAAGTTTTGTTCAAGAATCGAACTGGTGATGCTAGCGAAGTCTTGTTTCTGGGGAAGCTCTAGTTAGGAATGCTCCTGGTGCAAATAGAGGTTTGACAGGCATGTAAAATTGAAGTTATCTTTACCCACAAGTGGGCTTTGGGGAAGAGAGGAAGCTTTATAAAAGTTTGTCAATATTTTGGAATGTCGATAAAAAGTCCTTTGTCTAACTTTTAATGGGGGAACATAACTGCTTCCATGTCGACCATGAAAATGCATATCTCACCTCTATTTCGGTTTTTGAGTTAATGTGCAGTAAAAAGTTACCTTGTCTCTGTGCCGATGAAGAAATATACATTCTGAAATTAAAAAATTGTTGGCTTGTTCTTCTTTTCTTGCTATGAATTTACTAGACAACATGGAGATTAGTAGAAGCAAAATTATTACTGATCCAAGAATTAAAAAATTAATTAAAATTAAGAAGAAAGAGGAGTTGGTCATCACTGGTTATAAGTCCTAAACAAAACTAAAGTTTTAATTTTTTTTTTTGGTCTGAACTAAAGTTTTAATTAAGTGTACATTAAGTATCAACCAATACATCAGTACCAGAAACGCAAGTCCACCTACTCCATGTTATCAACTCCATCTCTTGATTTAAACTTAAACTTCTTAAAACTCATAGTATATATAGCCAGCCAAACTGCCTTGATTCATCATCAATCCATCAAACAAAACATTCTCAAGATCACAAACTGTGCTTATATTTTCTCCCTTTCCTCCCAATCCCATGGCAACCCGAAAGTTGATTCCCTTGCCCCTCAAGCTAAAAATCTGGCTAGTTCTTCTTGCTCTAGCCATTCCATCCATCACCCCGGCCCGAATCCTGGATAAGGAAAACCCTGCAACCCCTGAGGAACCTGATACAACTCCAACACAGACACCCCTTTCCAATGTTGCTCCTGCTGCAGCTACTAGTGCCACAGTTTCCAATTCAGAGGCCTACCATCCATTAACCTTCTTCTTGCATGACATTATTGGTGGATCAAACCCCTCAGCCACAGCAGTCACTGGGATAGTGACCAATCCAGCAGTCAATGGCCAAGTCCCCTTTGCCAAACCCAATGGAGCAGTTGTCCCAATTGGGAATGGCATTCCTCAGAACAACAACAACAATGGAATTATCAACAACAACAATGTCCCCTTCTTCACTGGCCTTGGTGGAAACACAGCTAGCAACTTGATCCAAAACAATGGGAACAACAACAACATCATCGGCGGCAACGGGCTCCCATACCTAAATGGGGCTCAGCTCCCTCCAGGCATAACCCTTCAAAAGCTCATGTTTGGGACACTCACAGTGTTTGATGATGAGCTGACTGAAGGGCATGAGCTTGGCTCTGGTTTGCTTGGCAAGGCACAAGGGTTCTATGTGGCAAGTTCTGAAGATGGCAGCAGCCAGACCATTGCTTTCACTGCCATGTTTCAGAGTGGTGGTTATGCTGACAGCCTCACCTTCTTCGGTGTGCATCGTGTGGCGGCATCAGAGTCTCATCTTGCAGTCGTGGGAGGCACCGGAAAGTATCTCAATGCAAAGGGCTATTCTCTGGTCAAGACCATTCCTGCTACAAATCAGCACAACACCGATGGAGTTGACACTGTGCTGCAGTTTACTGTGTATCTTACTTACTAGTGTGTGCTGAGATTTTAAAAGAAGTTGTCATGTGTTTGCTAAATTTAATCTCTGCACCAGAGGTGTATGTGATCAGGAAGGATTTGTGATTTAAATAGCACAAATGATTGTATTTACATGCAAATCAGGTATGGTTCTAAAGTAAACATTAATCAGAGATTAATTCCTTTTCAACTTACCTTGGCCTTCACCACCGTCCAAGACTACAAAGTGCCCGGGATCTTCCATTGAGTTTTCCTTTTTTGCAAGTTCTAAAACAATTTAACTAGTCTCTTACTTAGGTTGAGAGATGGGAATTGCATTGATCAAATACAATTGCCTCGCTTTAGATACGCACCTAACTAATGTTTATCATTTGGCACAGCACCGAGGTGTTTGAACATAAAATTCACACATGTAGGATCAAAGTGGTTAAGTTTGAGACAGTATGAGTGAAACAAGAAGGGCGGAAACACGTGGACCCCAACAATGAATAGGAGCCAAGAGGTGAAACTTTTGTTAGCCATTTTGTATTAGTTAAAACATGAAAGTGGATTCGACAAGTACAACTTTACAAGAACCACAGTGGGGCAGATGTAGCTGTGGAGTGTAATTGGTTGACCAAACCTTATTAACCCCCCCACCCCTTCCTCTCTCTCTCTATGATGGAGTTGCCCTGAGAAAAGGTATTTGTAATCGGGTCTAAGCACCCTGGCCCACCCAAAGCATAACATGTGGACCAACATAATATTTTGGCCCTGAACCAGCTTTTAAATATCAAGTGGCCCATCTACGATTGGTTTGGTTGAAAAGAATGTGACCCAAGATTAACGAGTTCAATTCAACTTATTGCAGGCCTTCATCAAACATAGTACCAATTACCAATTGTTCGTCGTCAGGTTAGAAAATACGGAAAGGCTATAATGAGGGCTTAAAGTGAGGAGCTTATTTGAGGAGGTCAAATCTCACCATCAACAAATGTAAAGAAATCATGAGACTTAAATATTTTAAATGTTTTGACGGTCGGATCGGTCTCCTCAAATAACCTCCTCACTTTAACTCCTCATTGTAGAAGCTCCCTAGAAAATATCCATCCAATACATGATGGAGAACCCTCCACTGAAGCTTGATAGTTACAACTTACGATAATGGTGGTTGCGACCAACAATGGTGTACCAATTATTCTCTTTTACCAATTCAACATAATAGCAACTTAGTAGTAGGATTCAATATAAGGAATATATTGTTTGCGCTTTCAGATAACCAAAAACATTTCTTGCAACGTTCGACATAAACATTTGAAAGTGTTTCTCAATTATAAAGCTCTTTCTAAAAGAACTCTTATGAGTAAAAGGGATTCCTACAAAAATGCTCTCAAACAACTCGTAAGTATACACTAATTATTACATGCACAAAAAAAGAAAAGTTTGGGCATGAGGTGATAATTGAGCAGAGAATGATCCCCCTCCCCAACCCAGCAGAAAAACTTTCTTGTAACAGAAATAACACTGTTTTGCTATTTCGGCCAATACTAAGAGGATACATGGAAAAATTATCGTGCGTGTCATTGTGCTATTAACCGGGGATAGCAAACGTTGAATGAAAGTCTATCTCCCCAACCAGACCAAACCATACACATCGCATTTAATTCCAAGTTTTCTATTCTCCATGCCCTAGCAAAATTTTCAAACGCGACCTATAACAAACAAATGGAAAACTAGTTCCAAGTTTTAAGCTTTTTACGTCAAAAGTAGCTCTCATGTCTCAAAAAGGAGAGGAACCTAACAAAATTGATTTGGATAACAAATGGATATCATAAAAAATTTCTAAGTGTTTGGACCGTTTCCTACCACATCATTGTCAACCTTTTTTTCTTTGTCTTTCTTTCAGCTATGTTTTGCATTATAATACGCAGCCACAAGCTGTTCTTAGATCTATATCTTTGTTGCGGCTAAAGATATTGGTGGATTTAAGAATTTTAGATCGTCCAAATGTAAAACTTAACTGTAAATAGCTTCGTAGGAGCGGAGTCTAAAGCCATTTCAAAACTGTCTTTGGCTCCGGCCCTAGATAAAGATGTTTCTATGTCCAAACGCTTCTTTCGAAAACGAAAAAGAATAAATTTTCATGTCTTGATATTTTCTTTTCCGGCCTTCACCAGTAGTCTCAGTCAAAGAAATTAAAGTCACGAAACATCCGGAAAAGGAAGATTAAAAAAAATATTCAGAGAATTGGAATTTTGCTTGCTTCCAAATCCAACCTATTAATATTACAAAACTCTTTTGCCTCAGTTGGTCAGCGGAAAGAGATTATATAGTTTGAAAAGCAAAAGAGAAAAAGGAATACCCGACCAAAAAAAAATAAGCAAGACCATTGAAAGAAAACAAAAATTAAAATTAAAAGAAGAAGCATGAAGCATGAAATCAAGCTAAAGTATTGTGTAGCTTGTTGTCTGCATTTGGTTTATTGTGGGGAAGGTATATTGGGATACAGAGAAAGAGAGATTACACATATATTGTTTCGACAAACTGTACTCTAAAAAATAAAGTGAAGACCGAGTGTAACTAAACCAAATGATCGTAAATTTAATTGTTTAAATGCTTAAAAATTAATGTTTTTAAAAAGAAAATTATATACGTCCCAATTATGGGATAATCTTGTGAGAGGATTCTTTTCCACCATCCAATTCTGACCGCTGATGTTAAATAGATGAGAATTGACCACTTCCATTATGTGATGGTACAATCCAGAAGACAAAATTTAGAAGATAGAAGAAGGAGGAGAAGAAGAAGAAACAAAAAATAAAAAGTGGTTCTTGTCTCAAGGAAAAAGGTGCGTTGAGTGCCGACCATAATGCCACCGCATGCATTTCTCTATTTGCAGACATTATTATCATTCATGCCGTATTCTTTGTATTTTTCATTTTGTTATTTTTCCACACCAACAAAACCCACTACTGCATCATATCATTGGCTCAATAACAGATTTTAAGTCTAAATTCACAAAAATTGTAGGCCAATTTTTTAAAACCCGAACTAGAAAACACTCTCATTATTAAAAACAAAAGAAAGTAAGGTTTACAGTTTTTCTTCTCTCTCTCCTTCCCTCCACACACACACACACTCTCTCTCTCTCCTCCCTCTCCCGTCTTTCTCTCTCCTCCTATTTCCTCTCTCTCTCTCTCTCTCGTTAATTTCAATTTTAGAATCTAAGTTTATTTTAATTTCAATTTGAGAATCTTGGTTTCTTATTTTAATTTCAATTTTTTTTAGATCTTAAAAATAGTTTGGAGTTTAATACCAAACATGTTTTTAGATTTTAAAATTAGTATTTAAAAACTCATATTTTAAAAATAAATCATCATTTTTTAGTAGGATACCAAACGGGCCTTATTTATTTGTGCAAATTCTCCACACACACACATCATTCATGCCGATAATTTTCTAACTTGACCCCCCAGTGCTACTAAATGAGTATATTTTTGTTTTACCAAAAAAATTTGACATTAATATGCGTGGATCCCTTGTCATTCGTAATAAAATTGTTTTTTTAATTGAATTTGAACCCTAATGTTAAATTAAAGGCTTTTCATCACAAAACGTCTCTAACATCTGTGAAACTATCAGATTGCATCCTTTAAATATTTTTGTATCACTTGTGGTCCCTAATGTTAATATGGGTGCTCTTAAATAGTCCATCTGTCAAAAAAATCTTTAAATCCCCAATTTTATGAGGGATATAATTGTCATATCAACCCCATTTTACCTCCCCACCTTCTCTAGCAGTTGTCAGGTTTTCACAACCCTCTCCAGCACCTCAAGTGGCATCACAACCTCCTATTGCACACAATTCTTCATCCCAGCAAGCCTTAACATCACAAACTGTCCAAAGAAGGAAATTAAAGTCTCCAGCTAAAAAAGGAAGGCCATGGAGAGTTTGAGACGATGTTTTATGGAACTGTAATTGGAAGTGGTCTAAGGTTTTTGATGTATGATATTGTTTTTTGATGGAAGCTTTCTAGGGGTTAAAGTGATGGAAGTGAAAGTGGTTTTTGATGGAAGTGGTCTAGGATTTTTGTATGTATAGAAGTGATTTTTGATAGAAGTCATGTAGGGGTTAATGTGATGAAACTGAATGCGGTTGATTATGTAATTGAAAGTGATTTTTTTATGTATGGAAGTGGTTTTTGATGTATGCAGTTGGTTCAATTTGTTCACAGTGGTTGGTAGTTTAGTTTATTAAATTTGTTCAACGTGTGTTGTTTATAGTTCAATTTGGTCATGTTCCATATTTAGTGCTTGTTCTTCGTCCAGAGTAAGACATTCTTTTAGCATGTGAAAATGGAACTGCAGCTTTAGTTGCCCACCCAATTCCAACAAGAAATGGAGGGAAATGGTTCCAAATTGGCAGCAAATGGGTCTGAGGCATTGAAAAGGTCAAAAGGGATTGATATGACGATTATATCCCTCATAAAATGGGGATTTAACGATTTTTTTTACGGATGGACTATTTAAGAGCACTCATATTAACGTTCGGAACTACGAGTGATACAAAAAAACTTTAAGGATACAATCTGATAGTTTCGCAAACGTCAAGGATGTTTTTTGATAAAAAAAACCTAAATTAAATTTTAGTTTCGATCATTTGCAAATAAGGACACGATACTAGTGCAACGAATGCAAGAGTTCTATGACTTGTTCTTTAAAAGAGTCGAACAATTTGAGGCAAATTAATGTAGGAATATTCCAATTCCATTTACTTACATACGGGTGATATACGGTGGTGGACCGTGGTTGATATAATAAGTACAAATATCATAATGTTCAAAGCTGAAAAGAGGCAAAGTGGTGGATGTGTGGGGCTGTTAAGTGCTCTCTGTTTTCTTCACATGCCTCGATCCATCGAGTGGTACAAAGAGCAATTGAATGTTGGCAGTCCACAACCATGTTCTTGACATGGAAAGCAGTAAACAATAAGATACTTTGCTCAGAGTTGACAGAAGGAGCAGGATTTCAAACTCATAACTAGTTAAACAACTAGTTATCATACAAATTACAAAACACACACCCTGGAATTTCAAATTTGGTAGAGAATATAACAAAAAGAAAAGAGGAAAAAAAAACTGATTTAATTTATTTGTGAATTCATGCTGACCATCGAGAGGATGGTGATGATGATGTTGGAGAAGACCAGAGCTGAGCCTTCTTCACCTTGGAGACACTTGAGAGCACACCTAATGGCGTAACATCTCCAATGACTGTGACCTTTTTGGTTGGAAAATCTATACTAAATGATGTCACTCCTGCAGAAATTACCCACATCAATTATTGTCTCGAACTTTTTATCTTCAACAAACATTTTACATATTATGTTGTAATTTGAATTACGCTCTTACAGAAAAACAACTTGAAATTGTATGACAACATAACATGTTATAATATCTAACGATCAAGAGAATATTCTCTGCATTTTAATATAAAAAATAAACTAATTTGGTTTGAAGCACCAAAAAACAACATGCATATATAAGAAATTAAACGTAGTTAATCAAATCTCTATCTACTAATTGAGAAGACTAATTAAATATACCTTCCATTTTAGAAAGATGCTTTCTCACTTTTCCTTCACAGCCCTTGCAATGAAGTGACACCCTCAAAACAACAACCTACAATTATGTCAAATAACTTTTGATGCATGCCTTCAATTCTCCAAAAGCAAATATTAAAAAGGAAAAAAAGAAGGAATTTTATTATGTTACCTGATGACGAGAACGAGTGGAAGAAGACCTTAAAGCAGGAGAGTGATCATTTGAGATCATCAACCGTCTAGGCTTAGAGGGCACTTGGGGAGGGAGCAATATTGTATTAGCAGAAACATTCCGATCGGCCTCCGATAACCAGCCGACGAAGGGCGAGTCGCTTAAAAGATACCGAGAAGAAGAAGAACCATTGAGGCTCCTAGTCCTTGTTAAGTCATGAATGTCAGCAGAGCTTTTTCTACGTAGCTGAGTTTGTGCACTAGAAAAACTCTTCCTACATTTCTCATAAAATGGTTTGGGATCAATTGGTAGCTGAGATGAGCAAGGGACATGGTGATGGTGAGTTTGATTGTGAGGCTGGTTTTTGGGTCGATCATGAAGACGATGATGAGGATGATGATGAGAATGAGGATGAGGATGATCAATGGTTGCGGGGCCTAGGCGGACCATGGCATGTTGGTCCATGCTAGTGCAAATGGCTGTGGAAGCTGGAGAAGCACAGAAAATATCCAGTCCTTTCATGGTTAATTGATCTGAGAATGACTTGCGAGAAATGGCTTAGGTTTTGTTTGGTGAAGGCTGAAGAGAAGTTATTACAGAGAAATAGAAGGATCGATTTTCTTCAAAATGAGGGCAACTAAGAGTGTTTTTAAAGTTGGTCGATGAGATAGAGAGACAGAAAAAAGATGTTGGTACTGATCGGGCCCCACAACAAGGAATAGAGGACGATAGTACTTTAGAAGATATGTGATTCATGATTCCTCTGGTCCTTCAAAGTTTTATTTTTTTATTGATTGAATATTTTGTTTACAATTTAATTGAGAGGTGGGGTTAATTAAAGTTGTGTTCATCTTTATCTGGTATGATTACAACCACTACCAGTACCATGAAGCTAGGCTAGCCCTAAAACTATATGAATTCGACTAATTCTATTATTGTTACATCATTGTTTCTTTCTTTTATTTATATATAAGAATCATTGTTTTACATTTGACTCTTGCCATAGAGCATGAATGTGCTTATGTTGGAGAAATTCCTCAGTCCGGCAGGTGAACTACCCCATCCATTAGTTCGACATATCAAAGAAGATTTATCACTAATGTGTGTCTGCGGTTATAAAATGATATAGTTGGATCGGACTAAAAATTGTTATTATTTCAAAATAAATCATACATCGTGTAATTAGCTAATGTGATAATCAAACTCTACTCTCTTTTATTTTTTTCACATCGTAATCATAATTGTCTAATTTACTTTGTCGAGTAGATGTATGTTAATTTACGCTAATCAAGGCATTAGCCTAAGCATCTTTCCACCAGATCTCCAAAATTCATAGATATTTGTTTAAACCTTTGATATCTAGATATCGAAACAAAAAAAACAAGATCGAAGCGCTGTAACTTATGTCCACTTCTTGCGATATGGAATAGGAACTCCAAAATAATTATAGGCTTTGAGTTTAAAATGTACCCAAATTCTGTCCACTTCTTGCAACATGGAATAAGAACTTGAAAAAATAAGTATTCTTTGGGTTTAAAAAGTACCCAAATTCCAGGATAAGCGACAAAGCAATGGTCAATCATGCTTGGATGTGGCCAAATTCGTGTAACTGTGGGAAGGTGGCAATGGGTCAAAGAATGATATAATTTTGCAATTTTAAATAATCATAATATTGGATCTAACTGCATACATGTGGCCTTACTCAGTAGAGAAACTCTCATGCAACAATGATAACATTTTTTGCTATCTCCGATCAATAATACAATGAAACGGAGGATAATTTTTTCCACATGTCATTGTATTATTGGCCGAAAATAGCAAAATAATGCTCTCTCTGTTACAAGTAAGTTTTTTTGCATACTCAACTTGAAAGAATCTGTCTTGTTACATCCTTTTGTTGGTTTATCCTTCATAGCTCAATCTACAAAAATTGGTCCATATGAGTATGGACATTACCAAATTAGTCTTTTACCACTGATTTCAGTTAAGAAAAATAATATATCTTTAGGTAAGTGTCTAATTACAATGCTTTTTATAATGATAAAAGCGCTTTCAAATAATTAAGAGTATTTTTTTTATTAGAAACAAAAATAAATAAAAGTACAATTTTGCTCAAATTATAAGGAACAAAAACATAGCGACTATGAGCGGGAGTGAATCCAACCGCCCACCATCCCTACATTTTTCATCTCATAACGCTTCGTCTTACCGTTGAAATGATAAAGCGCTTACATGCATTTTCCTTTTGTCATTAAAAAAATGGTACTCAATAAAAATGTTTTCTGAATTTTGGATTGAATCTCATACATATACCTCTAACAAAAATAGACCAAGTATGTACTAAACAAAAGTATCAAAGTAATCCCAAACAAGTCCTAAGATTTATATCTTTTTTTTTATAGTACAAGCGATAGTTTAAACTAAAAAATAGGGAAATTTTTATATACACAACTATAATGCCATGAGAATTCGAACTTGAGACGCTAAAAGATACATTTGTGCTGCAGCTTACTACAGTGTTGCATATCTGCCTGCTGACTCACAATTGTCACATCCCACCACCATTTAGTCGGTAATTGTTATCTAATGATGAGACTGTAATGATTAAGCATGGAAAATGGAAAATGGAAAATTGCGCCAAATGGCTGAGTTGTGTTCCATCAAAGAGTGGCATGGCGATGGCGATGGCGGCAGTCCAACCATTTTGTGACGTCTCTTTTCCTTGTATGATAAAAACAACTACACTAGTACAACCAACCAACCATCGATTGCCTTCTGATTAGCGGGAAATTGCATGCATCAATTGCCTTCTAACAATTTTCCATGTAAAGCTTCTTTAATAATTTTCCTATTGATTAGGATCAAAGTATCATATCATGTGATAGTACTAAGATTAAAATATCACAAAAAATGTTTGGATTTATGTGTGTGGGCCTCATAATCACGTGGTTAAACATTTGTTATATACTGTGTGTGGACCTCACTGGACATTTTGTTTTATAATCACGCGATTAAATATGCGAGTCTTTCATTTTAGTGGAAGGTTTAAGGCTCCTTTAATTTCTTTCTTTTTCTAAGGTATCTTTTACTTTTCCTGTTCTTCATATAATACTGTTTCAAATTAAGATGACTACCACAGGTTCCCTGACGTTTCTGTTGCAAATTTGCCTTTCTTCTTTCAGAAAATTAAATCACTCAAGCCTGTAGTCTTATGCTTTCTTTACTTAATAACCTTTTTTTAATTATATATAATTATGTTTATATTGATAATATATGGTGACTATTTCACCATTATTTCCACATTCTATTCATTAGTAAGAAAATAAATTAAGGCTTGAACGCAAGTTTGGCATAATGATGTTATGCCTTCAAATCGTAAGATTTACGAAAATCAACGTATAAAACAGAAATTCTTTAACGTGACTGTCGTATCGTCATGTAGTGTCACACTCCATTCGTATTGTAGCACGCTCCTTATTTATAAATATTATAAACTGAAATATAAACTTGTCATTCACCTATATTATATACATGAATGAGGAAAACAAGGTGTCAATGTTACAGACATACCTAATAAATTTTTCTGTGAATATCTCTATAAAGAAGATAAATTATCTCACTTGTTGCTTTAGAAAGATCGCATGTGAATCTTATATATATAATTCCTTCAATTGGCTCCCGCATGTCTCAACTAGAGATTAAGGGTTTAGGGTTTAGGAGTGATTTTGGATAAACCAATAATCACTTCTATGGAGAATTATTTTGCCATTTAATCACTAAAAGTGATTTTATGGTGAATACAAGATTAGGGGCTCCTCACAATCGCTTAAAATTACTTAAAATGATTATATGTAGAAGCATATAGAAGGTGCTTCTCCCCAAAAGTGATTATGGCCCTCCCAAATGAACTCTAAGTAGGGTGTGATCATTGGTGATACAAGAAAAGTGGCTGTGTTCAAAATCTGGTTGAGCCCTCTACCCTTGCTGAGGTGAGTCATGGGCCATGGTACCTATTCCAAAAGGTTACTTATTCAGAGACTCAAAACCAAACCCTTATCCATTTTAGTCTCAATGGTCCGTGAAGAGAAAGTAGACAATATAACTCAAAGCCCAAATTTAATGGGCAAGACTAAAATTACATGGAAATCCTCAAGGCCTCATCCAAACTACATACGCACGTGCCACTAGACACGTGTGCTCAGTGATTGGCCCCAATCCTAAATTAGGGTTTTAGAAGCAGAGTTATTAAAACCGCAGCCGTGTTTTAGGGTTCACTCTCTTCTCCGCCTTCAGTTTCATCCAGAGAGAGCAACAGTCTGCAGCAATGGGTAAGATTCACCAAATTCCTCTTTTTTTCCCTTAACTATCCTCTTCAATTGAATCTGGGTCGTTCTAACTTTTCATTTTTGTGACCTCTTTTTTATGTAAAACAGCGAGGATCAAGGTCCACGAGCTCAGAAACAAGACGAAGGCAGAGCTTTTGGGTCAACTGAAGGATCTGAAGGCAGAGCTTGCCCTCCTCCGAGTCGCCAAGGTCACCGGTGGAGCCCCCAACAAGCTCTCCAAAATGTACCTCTCTCTCTCTCTCTCTCTCTCTCTCTCTCATTTTTATATGTTGATTTGTTAATTTATGAATTCTTTTTACAAATTTGTGTTTGTGGTTTCAGCAAGGTGGTGAGACTTTCAATAGCACAAGTGTTGACAGTGATTTCCCAGAAGCAAAAAGCGGCTTTAAGGGAAGTCTACAAGAACAAGAAGTTTCTTCCTCTGGATTTGCGCCCAAAGAAGACCAGGGCTATCAGAAGGCGTCTGACCAAGCATCAGGTACTATTAATCTTTCATTCCTAGTTAAACACATTTCGGTTTTCATTGATATTAAGCAGCATAGTTATCTGGATGCCCATGGTTTGGGAATTGTTGAAATTTGGATAGATGGCAAGGCTGCATTTGTTATGCTCTTTCTTTGCTTTAACATGACATGTCAATGAGCCATGTAATAATAATTTCATTTGTTGTGGATTAGTTCATTTTAATTATGTTGAATTCGCTTACCCAATCTAGTTTTTGTGAGAAATGTTATTAAAAAAATGGTATCTAAGAGACCGAATTTATTTGCTGAATTGTATTCAAGGACGAATCTAAGCAAATATGCATTGGTATATACTTAGGATCTGGGTGCAATTGTTTAATCTAGGTTTCATAATGTGGTAATTCTAAGGTTCAATATCTTTGATTCGCACCAATGTGATTTTCTCAATACTATTAGATTCCCGGTTTGACTGATAGAGGGAAAAAATGAAGCAACTTTTATTTCCAAGAGTATGGCTATGTGACTTGATGGTTTCTCTGTATGATCCCTGAATTTATCAACTCTACAAGAAGAAGATAATCTATCTCTAAACTTCCTAAGCTAATTAACTTGCCATAATATAAATTCATTGCAAAATTTTGTTTCGTCTTGTTAAGATGCTTGCAAATAGATTTAGCGGTTTCGGTCAACTGTTTATTTAAGCACTTGCCCCTGCTCTATCACTTTTTTATATATAAATTTGCTTCTATTTCTGTCTTGACTTATAATTGATAGACGCAAGGTCTTTTTTTTTGGGAATAGCAGAACTGCTGTTATTGTTTTTTCATTCATTCCCCACCTCTCACTCGCTGTTCTCTAACTCGCTGTTCTCTATTTTGTGGCATGAACTTTAGCAGTCAGAATCAGTCAGTCTATGTCAAATTTTATGGCTAAATCTATTTATCCTAATTCTGTTGAATTGTTTTTTTATAGGCATCTTTAAAGACAGAACGGGAGAAGAAGAAGGAGATGTACTTCCCATTGAGGAAGTTTGCAATCAAAGCATAATGTTGGATTCAATTATGAAGGAAATCGGGTGTTTCGCCCATTATAAGATATTCCAAGGACACCATTTTAAAGTGTTTAGCTCTTCCCGTAATTTCATCATTGTAGACGCTATCCCAAATATGATTTTGTTGGTCCAGGATTTTAATGCTGATTTTGATTTCTATTATTGTTTGAGCATTTGCAATGGGATTAATTTGGCCGGTTACCCTATTCACTCCTTGTTTTCTTAATTGAAGGCGTAGCATTTCAGTAATCAACATCACTAGGTACATTCAACTTTGTTTGCCCTAGAAAGTTGATAACATCCAGCCCCTTCTTCCCAGCCAAACCATTTTATTACCATAAGTGAGTGCAAAGCGTAGATCATAACTGTATCCAGTCCTATAAGCGATCATCATTTGCTTGATGGCAGGTTTTTTGGCTTTTCGGTGATGCTCAATGCCTGTAATTTCACATTGCTTCTCTTGATGATGCATGTTGTGTGTTTTGCCTCTCCTAAACATAACAATAACAGAAGCATTCGCATAATAATAATTTCGTTTTTTTATACGTCTCAAAGATTCATAGTGAACTTTCCATTGGAGTTTCCTCTCGAAGTAATAACGTGTTGATCTACTCGCCACAGGAGCCACAAAGGGCTATGTAAATTGATTCGTATCTGCCGATGAACGCATTCAAACTGATTTGGGAAACTGGTTTGTCAATTGTCAGCAATGTGAAACAAAGCCTCTTTCTTTATCCTGTTCTAAGCACCCGACGCAAAATGTTCTTCAGTTGATGGGTGTTGCTTGTTCATCCCTCCGAATCTACATCGTCGGTTGATGCAGTTAAAGATACAAACTCAAGTCCTGCAAAATGCATACTAACATATGTTCTGAGAAATTTTGGGTTTCTGAAGGTTAACTATCATAGAAGTAGGATGCGTCGAGCAAACCATATATGCTGAGGAAATACTACGTGGCCTGTTTGATCAATTTGTATACGGGCCAAGCTCTTTACGTCTATTGAATCGGTTGTTGGGCTTATAAAAACTTTAAAAAGAAAAGAAAAAACAAATCGACCACAGTGGGAGTCGAACCCACGACCTTTTGATCCGAAGTCAAACGCGCTAATCCACTGCGCTATGCGGTCTTGTGTGTTCAAATCTGGTAGCAAATATTATTTGTTAATAGAATGTTTTTTTTTCCTTTTCAAAATTTTGCAGTTAACACGGAGTGCGGTTTTCTTCTTTAGAGCTTCGGCCTCCTGCATGGCTATGTTTCATAGGTTGTCCAAATTTTCAAAGTGTGTTGTGAAACAGACGAATGTTGATGGAAATTTGAAAACCACTGCAAAGAAATTCCTTCATCATGTTGATTTTGTCCACAGTTTCATTAGGTGAACAGTAAATAAAGTATAATCAGGCGCATACACATACACACACAAGTCCAGCTTGCAAAAAAGCAAATGTCACACAAGTCCGTTATGGGTCACTATCAAGAATAATATGAACAATTGAAATTGGGTCACCAGAAACACACAGAATAATTGACCCTTTTGGTATTTTTCACAGAAAATTTACCCATGATGTAAAGGAAGCACATCTCTCTCTCTCTCTCTCTCTCTCTCTCTCAAATGATTCTTATTTTCGTGGCTCGACTCTTCCTCAGGTTCACATTTTGGTTTTGGATTGCTTGGGCTGGATGCATTGATCTCTAATTTTGAGTCAAGTTTACATGTGGATCGGGTGGACCATTCTTGCCATCATCATCAACTTCACGCGGTAAGCCTATATGGTAAACAGAGCAATCCAGAGATAGATACAACTCGGCAGAAAATAGTAGCATTGAAAGCATTCTCACACTGAAAATGAAAGCTTTGCATGAATAGTTTAAAAGATGTTGAAAATTTCTACCCAATATTGTTAATTGATTTTGAGAGTTGGATGTTCACATTCTATTATGATATTAGAGCAGACTATCTACGTGTTGAACCCAACGGCAACACGTGCTCTCACATTACTCAATATATTGTAAAATGTATTGGCCACTTGTTTAGTTTGAGTGATGTCACGCAGTAGGGGCGGGGGAGGTGGAAGGGAGGGGCATGTTAAAGTATTATCATTCGTCGAAAACGAGCTTTGGCAAATGTTATTTTGGTAGTTCTACGTAATAGGGGTTCTGTGATGTAATTTCCAAGTCAATTATAATATGAAAATGAGAACATACAAAGAAACAAGTCTGGATTTAAGCAGGAAGTTTCAGAAACATCAATTTTAATTAATTTGACAAAGATTGCAAAAACGTCACGGATTATGGGAGTTTATGGGAAGGCTTTACCATCAACATCAAGCTACGAGACCCATGACGATTCACACACAGGAAGCCAAACACAAAATCTCATAGTCTCGTACAAACTGAGCATACCCAATTACCATAATCCAAATGTAAAATGGGGTCTTCTACTTGATTACGGCACAATAATTACTTAGGTTTAAAGAACTAATTAAGTAGCTATCACTACTTCAAAATTACCACTTATAAAATGGTGGAATGGATTTTCATTTGACTCATTCAACTAGCTCTACTCATCATTTGTGCAGCACTAAGGGGTGACGGAAACATCATCGTGAATACTAATTAATTAGTTTAGCGACCAAAACACTTGATTAACATCCAATTATGTTGGGGACCTCGAGCTAAAGCCAAAGGCTATATAAACTAACAGAGAAAAACAAACAACAAAAAGTTTACCACTTCATATTCTTCAATGATGATTTTTGTTAATTGCGTGTGAATTTTAGTTATAATATTCAATGCGATACACAGCTTAAAAGAGTTAATTTATTATTTTCACACAGGCGGCCTAGTGACAAAACATACTCTCGTTCGTTGTAATAAGCCTTGGAGGATCCATCTTATGTTGCACAATTGTCAACTTTTGTTTCTCTTTCTTGTATATTAGACGCGTATTAATATTAGTCTTAATTTCAAGTACGTACTCCATCAAATTACTATAGTGTGTAAATGCTGTGGGACAGCAAAGAGAACGCGCATGGGCACGAGGACAAAATTGACTTGTTTTGTTGCCTTTGACAGAGGGAGCTTACTTCATAGATTGTTACGTAAATGCGTTCATAACTTCAAACAAATGTTTCTTCAAAAGTTTGTGACTTATGGAGTGCAGATTAGGTTATCTTTGCATGTACATGCATGCATGCCATCTTCTTATTTTCTTTCCGAACACATGTTCACTTTTGATGTTATTTTTGTTATGAATGAAAATCCACAGGTGATGCGGATTTTGTACAAAACTTTAACTTATTATTTTAACCCAGTTACTCCTCCTCAATTTAGTTATGCAATAGTATTATATAATTCTCATTCATTTCGTGTAAATCTTTCACACAAAATATTATATACATGCATGCACAAAGCGTGGACTTGTCCTACCATTCCCAGTCATTACATATCCTTAATTTTTATTTAACAAATGGTTTTGGGTCGCTTAGCAAATTAAATAATATATTTTTGACTTAATCAACTGTACTATGGTAATCAACGAAGAATTGAAAATTAAATTAATTATATCATGTCTTGTTCAGTGACGAATAATTCTCTATGAAATAATAATTATTGGTACCTGGTGATGAGGACAATGTCAATAAATCATATTCAATATCTTTTGTGTTTGTAGCTCGGAGATGGCGAAGAATACTTCTCTCCATTAGATGCATACACAAATATGCTCGCATATTGACTCTCATCTATACCATACATACAAGCTAATTAACAAACTCCATTCATTAATTACAAAAGATTTTGTAGTGTTATCTTTCAATAAATAATCCAACATTATGTTGTATTATCAATTAATTAAGTGCATTGGTCGATGATGTGAAAACATATACTGTATTCTTATTGCAATAGAGCATTATTTTTTGAAAAATCCATCGGAATATTATCATACTTATTTATTATTTTAATTTCCTAGATTGATCTTACAAAATAACAACAATAAACAACTTCATTAGCAGACATGGGCTTAGCCAAGTTGGCTATAGCAAATGTGCTACCCACTTTGCATCCGAGTTCTAATTCCCCTCCTTGTAGTTTAGATTAGTTGAAAGTAAATTATCACTTGTATAAATAATTATTAAAAAAAACAACTTCATAATAAGCTCACACCCAATCAAAAATAAATAAGTTGCACTTGGAGTATACTTGGATATATAAATGTATAATTTTAGGTGTTATGCATAAAGTATAATAACATAATTTAAACCAACGAGGTCTAGTCCAGTAAAAAAGGGTGTTGATTTATAGACCAATAGTCTAATATTCAAATCCCCATGACAGATTGGCAGTGTGTGAGAAAACTCCCCTCCCTCAATATCATTTGTATCCAATAAAATAAAATAACATGAAGAGGCTCTATTGTAATTATATTACATCAAGATACCGCGTAGAACAAGGCTGAATTTGATTTGGCTGCTATTAATTAGCTCATTAGTTTACTTGATTAAGCTTATATACATATAATTCCTACCACTAAACAACAAGTGGAACCTTCTATTCATTCCTTTCTATGTGCTTTCCAAAGCTGGAAGAATTAGCAATGGAGGATATAGTCATTTGTTGGCCTATATATTGGATGCATGTTATATAAAAATATACGTTAAAAAACTATTTTGTATTCAAAATGATATTTCCAAGGCAGTCGATGATTTGGTTTGGAATGTTTCAAACAACAAGGCAATACAACACAAGACAAGGTTCTGACAACATCGCATGCACAGAATTTGTATAATTTTAACCTTCCCAAATCGACACCTAGATAGTGATTAGGAGAATTATTATTAGTATGATGGAATGATGATAAGTAGAATTTTGCTTGGTAACTCATAAAACATCATATCCTAATAAGATCAAGTTGAGAATTAACGCATGTTTTCTATTAAGTTGGACTTTCAATAGTTCTTGTTTTAACGATTGTTGCGCTAAATTCACAATATAGTAACATAACATTTTAAATATCTAATTAAAATCAAATCAGACATCCCCTGCGTACTCAATTAGAAATGCACCCACCTTATGAGGCTCATTGTTTACTACTTTCCTTCTTCTAGAGGGCAACTAAAACTTGAGGCACCTTTTCAGTCTCTTGGATGCTAATCAGATTCAATAAAAGCTCGCATCTAGACCGACTGGGTCATCGTTTACAAAATTTGGTCAACCAGTCGCATAAGGCAAAGCACCTTCTTTTTTTCCTTCTTCTTCTCTGCATTAACACAAGCATTTATAAACCACAAGACTCTCTGGTAATCTCTGCCACATGCATTAATTCAAATTACGTACGTACAAACTCAGAGGACCAAGTCTCTGTGTTCAAAAGTTAAATTTCATATATTTTTAATAAAAATGAGTAAAAAGGAAATTTCTGTTTAGGCCGGAGGAGAGACAGAGACCAGGCAATTTCCTGGTCCTTTCTGCTTGACTATTACACCATCATTAGCTAGCGTAATCCCTTTTGTTTTAACTTTGTCACGTAACTCCACAAGGAAGAAAACGCAACACCGCGTGCGTACGCACACACATACATACATGCTCTAATTAGTCAACCTTTTCACCCCTATAAATATCCTCCACTCCCTCTCTTACCCACCAAAACATTTCATCGAACATCTTCCATACAATAACAATCCAACACAACTCATCATCTCCCTCTCACTCTCACAGCCTCTCACACCTTCAAATCACCAAGAACATAAAACACATCTAAATTCTGGATTTTGGGTTTTGAATTTTAATGCCAAGAAAAGGAATGACGACTCTGTTTTTCAAATCTCCATCGCCGTCACCTTCGAACTCTCCATCAAGGAGCGCCACCCAACCTTCATCGCCGCGTCGCAGCTTCTACGACTCTCTAATGGAAGAGAACATCAAAATCGCACAGACCCTCATCACGCAGTGGGACTCTGACTCTTCTTCTTACACCAACATCTCCTCTCTTTTCCATGACGACCGCCAAGAGGCCAGGCTCTACCTCAAATCCGTCAAGGATTTACAGTCCGCCATGCAACACTTCCTCAGCTCCCAAGACTCCAGCGCCGAAAAGCTCATCATTGCTCAGAATCTTATGCAATCCGCCATGAAGAGACTCGAGAAGGAGTTCTACCATATTTTATCCGCCAACCGAGAGTACTTGGACGCCGAAACCGTGTCGAGCCGGTCATCCAGAGCCTCAGCTCGGTCCAGCGTTTCCGATTTGGAATCCGAGTCGGAGGACGAGTCACGAGCCACAACCGAGTCGGTTTCCGCGGTGGACCAAATCTCTACCATTGCAATGTCCGATTTGAAATCCATCGCTGATTGTATGATATCGTCTGGCTATGGAAAAGAGTGCGTGAGAATTTACAAAATCATAAGAAAATCGATCGTCGACGAAGGCCTGTATCTTCTTGGAGTGGAGAAGCTGAGTCTCTCTCAGGTTCAGAAAATGGACTGGCAGGTTTTGGAGACGAAGATCAAGAACTGGTTAAGCGCCGTTAAAGTCGCCGTTAAAACTCTCTTCTACGGAGAGAGGCTGTTCTGCGAACAAGTGTTCGCCGCCTCGGACTCCATAGCGGAGTCGTGCTTCAACGAGATATCTAAAGAGGCCGCAATGACTCTGTTTGGTTTCCCGGAATTGGTGGGAAAATGCAAGAAACTATCTCCCGAGAAAATGTTCCGCATTTTGGACTTGTACCAGGCCGTCTCGGATCTTTGGCCCGAAATAGAGTCCATCTTCTCTTTCGAATCAACCTCAGCCGTCCGATCTCTGGCCGTTAATTCTCTCATTAAGCTAGGTGAGGCCGTCCGCACTATGCTTACGGATTTCGAATCGGCGATCCAGAAGGACTCGTCCAAGACACCGGTCCCATCCGGTGGGGTCCACCCGCTTACTCGTTACGTAATGAACTATATTTCCTTCCTCGCCGATTACAGCGAAATACTTGGTGATATAGTCTTTGACTGGCCGTTGACGATCTCGACGCCGTTGCCGGAAGCTTACTTCGGGTGCTACGACGCCGAGGAGTCGCCAATTTCAATACGCCTCGCGTGGCTCGTCCTTGTTCTCCTCTGCAAACTCGACGGCAAAGCCAAGCTGTACAAAGACGTGGCGCTATCCTATTTGTTCTTGGCGAACAACTTGCAATACGTCGTCGGAAAAGTCCGCCGCTCCAACGTCAAGTACTTGCTGGGGGAGTATTGGGTGGAGAAGCACGAGTCAAAAGTCAAACAATACGCCTCGAACTACGAGCGGATGGGGTGGAGCAAGGTGTTCGCCTCCCTACCGGAAGATACAACGGCTCAGATTTCTTCCGATCAGGCAAAGAGCTACTTCAAGCGATTCAACGCAGCGTTTGATGAGGCGTATAAAAAGCAGACCTCATGGGTCGTGCCCGACTCGAAACTCCGAGACGAGCTGAAAGTTTCGGTGGCTAAAAAGCTAGTGCCGGTATATCGGGAGTTTTACGAGAAGCATAGAGTCGGGATGAGGATGGACTGCGGGGAGGACTCGTTGGTCAGATATGCCCCCGAGAATCTAGATAATTACTTGTCGGATCTGTTGTATGGGGCCGCGAGTGGTGGGAGCGTTTCGTCATTTTCGTCGTGCTCTTCCTCGCCGTCACATTCGCACGGTAGGCAAGGTCGTTGAGACGTTGTTTGTCGTTTTGGCCATGTGTCGTTTAGTGAATATAGAATAATACTAGAATGAGGACAAAAGATCGTGTAAAGATTTGATTTTAAAAAGGTGTACAGTGATAATATTATACATGAATTCTTTGATTTTTCAGATAAAGGAAACGCAGATTATGCATAGTTTTGGAATATTTCTTTTGTATTTTAGTTTTTGTAAGTAGTGAAGAATGATTACGTTACATACAAGGAGATCATACCGAAGCTGAGAAGGCAATTATCACTATTTTTTTATTTGGCCGACTTTATTAAAAAAGAAGTAATTCCTTCAAAAATTGAAATGAATTATTCTGGACAAAGTCTAACGATTTCGAACTATTTTTATGAACTATTATTATCAACGACTCACAGTCGTTCGCTATAATATTCCCCTGTAGTTAGGCTTGGACTTCTCCAAGATTTTCATCTGAGGCAACATAAATTTGAAAGACTACTCGATGAATCTCAACGCCCAATAGCCTTAACCAATCAATATTGGAGAGTAATTTCAATAGAGGCAGAATTACATTTTTTCCCAACGAACAAGCTGACCAAAAAAGGCTTAATCAAAGCATAGCAGCAGGAAATGAGCAGAGGAAATGAACATGTGGTCTTGACAAGTTGACGTTCGTCATAGGACAACAACAGTGCATTCAGATTTGGAGGCTCTCGTCTGACTTTCCGACTTTTAGCTTTTGGGTCGTCATTGGTGGATAATTTTAGAAGCCTTTGGTTTGAGTAAATATTTCTTCTCACTACTTTAATCCAAGATATATCTTCACAATTATTCTTAATAATTCAATTATATCTTCACTATTATTCTTAATTTTGAATTATGATTATATCTATACACTTCAAAATAAGTGGTGTATAAAAGTACTTCCTTACTTAGATATCAAGTGAGCTTTAAGACGTTTTCCTAAAGCTTTTAGAATGCATGTATCAAACAACATAGAAGAGAATGAAAATATAAAAGTTATAAATAATAGTAAATTAAAAAATTTATATTTATTTAAAAAAAAAAAAAAAAAAAAAAAAAAAAAAAAAAAAAAGAAGAAAAAGAAAGAATAGAAGAAAGTGTAGCTAGCATGCCCAATTTGATATTCAACTTCTCATTTCTCTATCTTTTTATTTGGTTATTAGTTTACGTTTCAATTTCATGGATTTGTTCAACTTCTATAGGAAATACTTCTACTTAAAAAGTTTTTGCTAAAAGAGCAAAGAGCGTGGGACTAAGGGCACTTCAGGCATGCTGGCTATAAGTGCTTTTACAAGAACAGCATATCGATATTTTTGTTTACAATCCAAGTCCTTCCTTGGTGCTTCTCCATTACGGAGTCCCACAATGCAAATCCATTAAACTTTATAGCTTCAAAACTATTATTTGATATAAAAGTACTTTTTTGGTCGAGATATAAAAGTGCTTTTAGCCCTTCAATCATGGTGCCAAGCTTACATGCCTCACATATTTGTAAAGCCCAACAAACGCGAGGAGGTTTTAAACCCCAGGCTCGAGGGACGTTAGAGGCAGTGTTCCACGGTGAGGCAATCCCTTACCTATTCCAAAAGTTGGGTCTCTCATCCTTATCCAAGCGTTTTGCATGGGTTTGAGTGTTGACTCATGGGCCTTGATCTTTCTTCCCTTCATTGCCTTCACCTTCAAAGACTCATCTTTCCTAGGCCCATGGGTGATATATTCTTTGTCCAAACAATAACACTTGTATTTAGATCTGGTGAGTGAGACATGACGATCCAACATGAGCAATGGTGGTTGAGCATTAAAGAACTTTTCAATATTACACCCGAAATCAAAATGAATTGTGGGCACAAGTGGGCAAAGCAATTTGATTGATTGCTTATGTAACAGAAAAAGTTGGTTGTTTTATATCTTAGTAAGGAAAATATATTTCAAAGCAACATGGTGTATTGTCTTGCCATCGAGGTGCTTAGCTGCTGCAGAGTGCACTCTTAAAAATGGAAAATACGTTTCTTTTTTTTTGAGTGAACTTAAAAAGACTTCGAGCTAGTTTCCATGCAAGAAGTTGTTGTCCATGCTTTTGCAACTTGCATTTAAATTACATATCATTTAGGCTTGCTGATGACTTGGGACCCTTCGGTTATGGTTAGCTGTCCAATTACATCAAAATTTATTGATCCAATTGTTTGATGTGAGTTGTAGATATAATATATATATATATATATTGTAAAATAAAATAAAAATTAAAAAAAAAACTTGAATTTGAAATCATCTCTGGAAAAAAATCACTTCAATCCGAAACCATTTGACCACTTAATTAGATGATTGTTATTATAGTCTTTTCTTGAAGCACCGTGTTCTATTTTGTTGGCCCCAATTGGATGCCTTAATGATTTTCAATTGACTTAGCTTTTTGCAGGAATGATCTATAAATGAAGAATTGAATCCAAAGGGTTTAGATCATTAAAAATATTCGTAAAGATCCCTATAGAAGGGGACTGTATAATAAGTTGAACTCTCTCTGTATATATATTTGATTTACATACATATACCTTTTGTCTCCTATAAGTAGTCAGCAAAAGAAAATAAGTATGAAGGAAATTAAATACAATGACGCCCTGAGATTGAAGGCTGCAACATTTATCAGTTATATGTTTGTCTCATCATTTAATCATTTGTCCCTATCCCTTCTGTTGCAGTGGAATATTTTATTAGTGGAGACATAAATGCATATATGGGCAGGGCTATGAATCGACTTAGAATAATACAAACTTGAACTTGTATTGTGTTGGAGTTGTTAGACTTTGAATTCTTTCTTTCTTTTATGAGTCCCCAAAGAAAATTTAACTAAGCCAAACCCGAACGAACCATTAAGCTTGCTAAAACTAGTTTGAGACTTCCAAAAAAAAAACCCTATCTAATTTCTCATATTTAAGTATGATTGCTGAGTTTCTTTGATTCATTAATACTTTTAATTAAAGGACGTCTCAAATTTAACTCGACACGACATGACTTCGAATTTCTATTAAGAACTGTCAATTTTTCATTAGTAAATGATCACAAACGAGCATGAACGTTTTTTCATTGTTTATCATAGGCTCAGCTTTAAGGTCAAGCTTGAGTCATTTAAAGCTCAACTGCCTCTTGACCATAAAAAATAAAAAATAAATAAAAAAGCTTCAACTGCCTATATAGTACATGTGGACGACATGTAGTTGGTTCATGTTTACACAAACACATGGATAAACATTGTCAAATGTGGATCAAGCTGGCACTTTGGCAATGTTTTCTAACAATTTGGCCGTCTTTGGCATGCTACACATACGGAAAGTAGAATAGAGTTCATCTATATTGTTTTTGTTTGAGAGGAGGTATTCAAATTTGAGATTTCTTCTAAGGGTTTGTAGATTATTTATATATCAAAAAACTAGACACCTCTTCTAACAAAATATAGAGAAATATCATGATCTCTAAATCAATAGTCAGCCTACATTCATACTCATTGTTAGGAATAAGATTAAGAAGTTAACTAACATTAAAAGAAGTCCCAAATTTAAATTCAAATTCCCTCTTTATTAATAAAAAGTAGATCATATATGCTTTTTTTTTAAATATTTAATACAAGTGACATTGAGGGAGAGGAATTCGAATACAGGACCTCCAGTACAATAATAACTGTTTTTAATCACTTCAACTGCAAACCCCTTGCAAATAGACCTTATATCTTGAATTCATCAAAAGAAAAAGAGAATACGTGAATGGATAAAATTCATGTCATAGATCAAGAAGTCACACCATCAAACTACATTATCACTCGAGTCGTGCTAAGGAAACCACATTTACACACCACACCTTGTGTACTGTTAATAGAGATTGATCTTCCAAGCATTTTCCTTATCACTAATATTGTCAACTCTACTGTCAACCCTATTTTCAGCAACATCATCCCTGTGGTCTCTACCATCATAATTATCACCACATTATTGTTATTATTGTCTCCGTCCGCCACTGTTATAGATAACTATTATCAATATATGTTTTTTTGGTTCAATATGATAATATGATGAGATTAGATAAGAGTTCATCTCGTCAAGGTTGCCCGCGGCAGCCAATACACTGGGATCGTCATTAAATGGCCACTACTTGCTTAGCTATATATCTGTAAGTATAATTTATTTTATTTTTGCCTTAAATGTCTCTTAATATAGCTGAAGCATTATGAGCTTAATTATTAGCCGATAACGTTGCGTGGTTACCTTAACTAGCTTAATTTATTGACACTTTTTAATCGATGTGACTGTCTACTTCATCCGCCATATAATGTGATATGAGAATGTAGTAAGAGTAACATTACTCTATGCAGGAATCAAGATACATGACAACGATATTGAACGTGTTACTTAGATTTCTGTTTTGGCAATTCTATTCTTATTCAACATGCTAGGGTGTCTTAATTATAATTATTATTTGTCATATCACTATGCACTTTATTTTGAGACTATAGTTATTAGAAGGCAATTCTACTGTTATTGAACATGTTATTCTTGAAAAAATTATTGAACATGTTATTCTTGAAAAAATTACAAATCATAAGCTGATCCACAACATATACCAATTAGTTATAGTCTAGTTGATAAACAGATTCAATTACAGAGAATTGAAGGCAAAACCCAGCCTTTTGAAAAAAGAGGGTCCCAGCTTAATTTAGGATTACAATTCAAGCACAAAGCCCAAAGGGGAATGCTAGCAACATTCTCTCTAACCTTCTCTATTTTTTACTTGACATGTGTCATTCTCCTTACACTTACAACAATGTCATTAATATATTATACAAGCTAACTTTGCTTTCCAAGTTTACCATTATTAAATGTATTCAATATATCCAAAAAAATTTCACAACTTTCTTACCATCTTATTAATTTTTTTTTAACGTCAAATTTTTTTATTTAAGAAAATGTCTGCTTTAAAAAAAAAAGAGGAAATGTACCTTTTTTTTTAACGTC